GCATCGTTCTTGGACAGGGAAACGACTGGTACATTAGGAGATCAACCAATGGTGGATGTGACATTGAAGCTTGGAAGGGACGAGGACTAGGGTTCCTTTAATTTCTTCTATGGGCCATGGTATCTGGACTATGATACACTATCATTGGTTCTTTAGATTACAATTATTATTTATTTTGGATACCACAATTTTATTAGTATGTGTTAATTTTTAGATGTTGTACTAGGATTGCTTGCTTTAGCTATCTATGAAAATGAAATGGTAATTTATCTTGTTTCATTTCTTACATGCTATTCATAAAGTTGTTAATCAGTCAAGGATTTTGTGCCCAAAATTAAAATATTTTCAACGGCTCTTTTTTAATTAAATACTCGAATCAATGTTATTAGTTATACGATCACGTAATTTAGTAACTATATGATCACGTCATCATTTAGTGGAGAGAGAAGGGATGTATCAAAATTTGATGTGAAAATACATAAATCTTTCTTTTAAAATACAAAAAAATTCAATCATATGCATGGATTATTCTATCGTGCACACAAAATTAAATCACCGTTAACGGTTTGTTTTATAAAATTAAAATTAGATCAATTATACACATCATATTAATTATGAGAAATTTGCATATAATCAATTACATATTATCATTTAACTAATTTTTCAATTAAATAGTTGATGTTATTTGCATCATCAATTTGTGGAGAAAGAGTAAGAATACAAATTTTGATGTGAAAATACAGCATCAATCCTTATAAAAAAATTTCAACCGTATACATGGACCATGCCATGCATCTCATTCAAGTTCTAGGTTGTCAAGGTTTGAAGGACTATATATGGTAGAAACCTAAATTATACCACATTCAATTTCTTTCCTAGTATGCATAGTTTCTCTAACAAATTCAGATGGAAAAAAAGGGGTCAATCTTTCTCTTTTGAGAGATGAGGCGTTGGAAGCCAGCTATATCTTTCGTGTAGGAATAATTTCTTCGTCATTGCCTCTTAAAACCTAATGACAAAAGGTCTTTGCTTGATTTCACTTTTTGAAACATTTTAATAAAAGTTTTAGCACTCATATATATAAAGTAACTAATTAATCATATGGGCAGAGCAAAAAAGGGGGAAAAAAAAACAACCGTAATAAGTAGATAATATAGTATGAATGTTTTATAGTCCTTTGTTGCTCATTTTTGGAAATCATAACCAAGCCATTGAAAGAAATTAAATCATATAATTCTTTCAAATAAACTGGATCATCCATGCTCCTATTGTACTCGACAAAAATAGAAGAATATTGATGACTAAGAGAAATATAATTTAAAATGGTCAAATTGAATTGGTTTGAATTCAAGTTTTAGGTTTTATAGGTATCATCCGAGCCGGTGATACTTCTATGAAATGCCATTATATAAAAGATAATTTTTTGTTTTCCTATTATAAACTTTCTACTATGTGGATAACTGTAATTAGATTGTATTATGCGAAGTTTCGATGAAGACATTTATACAAGGAGGCTATATAAGTTATTATGTATGTATATTTGTCCTTAATCATCTTATGAACTTTTGTGAGTGGAAAATTTAGTATAAATTATGTGTAAATCTACTATAAAATTATGTTTCCTCTTTGTTCTCACCCAAAGCTAGTGTTTTTCATGGGCTATGTTCCTTTTGACATTTTTCATTTTGGTGCCCAAAAATGTTAATTTCGTGTAACCAAACCACCTTCTTAAAATGAGCAAATTTCCTACCAAGGGCACTTTTTTTTTATTATTTATTTTGCGGATGAGGGAAAAAAGGTTTGGTTCGAACTCAAATCTTTATGACTTCTTTAAAACCTTTTTATCATTAGATCAAGAAGCTGACGGCAAAGCCACTTTATTTTTAAAAACACAAACTTTTATCCCATAGAAGGCATAGCCAATAACTATTAAATAAATTACTGTATGTTTTTTACCACTTGAAATTTCCTGGACAGGAAACTTTTGGTGGTTTGAACTTTGCAGCTAATTTCAATAGAAAACAGCAAGCAAATTATATAAACTAGACCAAGTGAAAATTGAAGAATCAAAGAAATTGAGAAGGAGATTAGGACAAATTCCAAGAGGGTATGGTCGGCTAAAAATTGGTTGAGACATGTGATTTAGCTGAGAGTACTGAGAATAGTATCCATTTGGGGGTATTATGATTGCACCAAAGTCAATAAATAAATGGCCATGGCTGGCCTTCTATCAAAATCAGACATTAGCTAATCCACCCTAACCAATTACTTAACACCGTTGTCGTAGTTTCAACTTTCAATATGATAAAAGAAGAAGTATCCAATGGCATGAGAAACTTCAATGGCTATCAGGTAGTGATTGTGTATCTTATAATGAGTGATAATGGGTGATAATGAGTGATAAAATAATGCAAGGAGGCTAACCTTTGTCAACCTATAGATTCCTCTGGTAAAATTTGTTTTGTCTTAAGCAAACAACCAAACCATTAGATCTTAGTTCTTTCAATTTAGAAATAGTATTAAGTTTAGATTTGGTAATCTTACAAAAAAAAACAAGTACGATAAGAAAAAAGAACACAAAAATGATACAGTTTAAAATTTTTATGATAACTATTTATGAGTGTAACAAAATTAAAAAAATATTTTCGTGTTTACATAAATTTTGATACGTAATTTTTGTATAAAATATAACATAAATACATAAATTATAGTATTTTATACGATATAAATACATGAATCACCAAATCTAATTCAAATTGCTGAGAAAAGGGGATGAGTTAAAACTGCTAGATGCTTAAAACTAATTAATTGTCTAATCCTATAATTTGTATCTTTATGTTCCAAAAAAGAAAAAAGGTTGACTATCAACGATTTAAACATATGATTATAGGATTAGACAATTCATTTGTAAAATCTAAATTTGATTTTTGCTGTTAACAATCTTCCTTTATATCCAATATAAATCTTAGTTGAAGTATGCGACATGTGAAATGTGGTTGGCTTGCCACAATTTTTATCATTTCATCCTCATTAATTACCAATGAAAGGGCATTTACTACATTTCCCAAATAATTAAATTTACCTAGGTTTCAAATGTTAATCTTTTTATATTACTGACTTCCTTCAATGCTGTTTTTTTCCCAATGGCTAGAAGTAACCTATTTGATAAGGATAATCTTTTCCCCATGATGTACCATTTAAACATAGTTGATCTCTTAATTCTTAGATTGATATTCTTCTGTTACAACATAGCTTTTATCACACATTTGCATTTCACTTTTTATTTAATCTGGACATTGCCTTAATTGTAAGATAATGACACTCAATTTTTATGGCCCTCTAATAGGGTTGTGGCCCAAACTCAATCAGGAATTAATTGGGCGTTTACTTAGATCCCATGCATTCAAGAGGGGCGAAGAAAATGAAAAATAAAGATAAATTGGTATAATTTGGTAAAGATAATAACGATTAAGATTAGATCGAATTTGATTTAATTATTTTTAGATAATGTATAATATTATAAATTTTTAAAATTTAATCTAAATTCGAATTGATTTTCTTTTAAAATCGATTTGATCCGAAATAAATTCCAACGATTTAGTTTAGTTCACTAGTTTTTAAATTTTTTATATTATTTTAATAAGATTTTAATATATTTATATATAAAATAATTATTTTATTTTATAAAAATTTAAAATATATATAAAAACTAATAAAAATATATAATTCGATTCAGTTTAATCTTTTACATTCAAATATGAAATCCAATCTGAATTTAATATATACATTAATATACGAATTTGATTCGAACCAAATGAAAAAAAATCAATTAGAATCAAACCGAACACTATAATTTAAAATTAATTTTTAATTTTTTCAATTTTTTCCACCTTTACAATTTAAATCACATAACTTTTAATAGACAAAAAATTAGGTCAATTCAATTACCAACCATTTATTTGTCTGAGAACTAATGAAAGCTGCATTACATATTTTCTGACATGCAAATATGCATCCACACTAACAAACTCAGTCTGAAATTCTGCACATTTGTTTTGGCTTTGTAGATCTTTTATTGAGAGTCTCATCAGCATTTTCAATCAAACCACAAAAAAAAAAAAAGAAAAAAAAAGATGAGAATATTTGTTTCAAGTCGTCTCCTCTTACAAAGGTTGGGAAGGGTGATTGACAATTTCCCTGCCTCACCAATATCCCTCTGCTAGGTTGCACTGCCACCATTCAACTGCTTTCCCATATTTGGACATTTCCTTGTTTGCTCAATAAAGTTCTTTCTTTTCCCCCCTCTCCCAACCAAACTTCTCCAATTCCTTTCTTCTTGTTTCCGATAACAAATAAAGTAATGTAATCCTGGCAAATCCTAGTCAACTCTCACACTTTTACAAATAAAGAAAGTTCAAATTCAAAATTAAGAAATATTTATGAAAATATATCTGTATAAAAAGCTCAAAATTTAACCCTAAATTTTCTTACAAAAGGTAACAGAAACGACAACTCTAAAAGCTTATAAAATGTTTTTTATAAAAAAGATCGTACTTTAAAAATAAAAAATACAGATTTAATATTTAAATTATAAATTTATTGAATATTATATTTTGATTACATAAATAAATTGAATTAAAATATAACTTCAAATTATAAAATATTTCGATACTAAATATTTTAAATTTGCTAATTTTATGTATTATATAAATTGTAGTAAATAAACCAAAAAAGAAATGTTCAATTTGGTTAGTTTTAATGGTAACTCATAAACCTTCTTTGCTTTGAAATCAAATGGTAAGGACAAAACACATCTTTAAAAATTGAAGCAACATCTTAAATTTATTTGAAGAAATCAAAAGTACCACCTTTTGTTTTAAAAGACTTTAAAATAAATGCAAAGGCAACAAATTTTTCATCGAACAACAAGAAGACACATAACCCAACGAACAAGGTTAATTTTTTATTCATTTAATAAATATTTTTTTCCCCTTGATATTGCCTATCAAGGCCATGAAATAGTAAAAGGCCGCCCCGTCTCACTTAATCATCGTAAACTTAATCAAACACTCAAAGAAAAAAATAAGTAATTTTGTCTTAAAAAAATTTAAATCCACCTAGTTATATCATCATCCAACTTTTGCTTCTTCAATTGTCCGTTTTCTTTCTCTTTCTCTCATCCAAAAAAAAAAAAAAACCCCTTTGTTTTTTGCCTTGAAACGAATTTTCCCGAGAAAATTAAATCCTTGTCCTTAACCCAGATCCTTAGATCATCATCCCAAATTCTTGCCGATAAGTTTGTTCCTCTTACAATCTTTTTCCCATATTCCCTTTTTCGGTGGCAATCAAAATATACTTTTTTTCTTTAATACTCCTAGTTTTTATCTATTATTAAAAAATCTTAACCTTTTCTCTCTACTTTTTCCCACCTAGAAAATGCAGCTTGATGATCCAAAAACGCTTGTTTTGGTTCACTTATTAATGGGTCTTCCTTAGTTTTTCAATCAAGTTTTCTCCCTTTTTTTATCCCTTTAGTCAAGTAAAGGGTTTGCAATGTTCGTTTTGAATTTTTTGAGAGTTTAATAAGGATTTTTAAAATATAGGTTTTGATTTTTGGAGTTGATAGATAAGAATTTTGATGGATCTGATAGCTAGTTTAAAGAGAAGGATATAGAGTCGATTTCTGTGTTGAAAGTCATTTTTTCAATATTAATACAGTGAAATAAGAGGGGAGGGTTTTCTTTTTTTTTTTTTATTGTGACACAGCTGAGTAACATTAGATCATGGAGCATATTATTGGTGGAAAATTCAAGCTTGGTCGAAAGATTGGAAGTGGGTCATTTGGTGAACTTTATTTAGGTATTACGATTATGGCTTTTTTATGATTGTTTTCTTTTTTCTTTTTCTTTTTTTTTTTTATTTTGGTGTTTTTGTTTTTGTAGGCGTTAATGTACAAAGTGGAGAAGAAGTGGCTGTTAAGCTGGTAATGTTTGGCGTTTTACTGTTTTTGCCCCAATTTTGTTTTGGGGGAGGGGGTTGTTTCTTTTTTGTGTTTCTGAGTGTATTGGTTGATCACTAGATATGCAAAAAAATGGTCGATTTAGATGACGATTGTTGCATTTGTGTTTGATGTTATGCTGTGATGCATTTGTTTGTGTTTCATTTGGATGCCTAGTACTTCAGATCATCGGTCTGCTTTTGGGGGTGTCAACTAGTTCTTTAGTTGATGAATATGCATGTGCTACTATGGACATGCTAGATTTGATGTTTGTAGAGCTATCTCGTAAAAGGGAGATATGGTGGCACCTGGGATTGTTTACACCCAAGCTATTCTCTTATATTGGTGAAATGAGAATCACCTAACTAGTTTTCTGCTTTTATTAAGTAGTTCATTGAGTTGGAGTTGGAGGCTAGATGTCTGCAATTAGTTAAGGGTTGCTATGAAGGTAACAATATGCCGCTATAAAGTTTTTGCTGGAGATTTCTTTATATGTTTACTTTTGTAATGAGAAAAAGGAGTTTGGCAAAAAATTTGTTTGGCTGTGATTTCTTTTGAGTATTCTTTGAGTTAGACTGTGACATTTGCTGCTAATATAGGGAAGGATCCATTAATTATTCAAGTTGATAGTTTTGGATGATCTGCTTAAGTGCTTAAAAATTTTCTCTAGAAGTTGAGTTGTTAGATCGTAGTTATACTTCTATTGTTTCTTTTTCAATTCAATATTTTAATTGAATTTCATAATCTTGCTGATGTTTGTTTGATGTTTTAAATCTGTTATCAATATGGACTCTTCTTGTTCCCAGGAATCTGTCAAGACCAAGCATCCCCAACTTCACTATGAGTCAAAACTGTACATGCTTCTTCAAGGAGGGAGTAAGTGTCATTTCTCTCTCTTTCTCCATGCTTGTGTGTGTGTGTCTGTCTATTTATTATGGTAAGTTGAAGTCAGTGAGAAGTTTTTTTTACCATCTTTTATGTGTGCAGCGGGTATTCCTCATTTAAAATGGTTTGGAGTTGAGGGTGAATACCATGTTATGGTTATTGATCTTCTTGGACCTAGCCTAGAAGATTTTTTCAACTATTGCAATCGGAAGTTTTCCTTAAAAACAGTTTTGATGCTTGCAGATCAGTTAGTAAGTCTGCTATCCTTTTCAGGAAACTTTAATATGGTCAGTTGACTGCCTTACTAATACTCATTCTTTCCTTGCTGGTTCAGATAAATAGAGTTGAGTTTATGCACTCTCGCGGTTTTCTTCACCGTGACATAAAGCCCGATAACTTTTTGATGGGTTTGGGACGCAAAGCAAATCAGGCATTTTTTCTGTTTATTACCTGCATCTATTTGCACTGTGTGTTTTTTGGATTTGTAAATAGATGATAAGGCATGAGATCATATTGATAAGATCTTCATGCAATTTTATATTCCATTTGAAATATCTTTTTCGCTTAACTGAAATTCAGTTTGACATAACTGTGTCGTTCCAGTCACTTATTCCACAGGACGCCCTAGTTTGTGCTGTATAATTCCAATGTTTCCCCCTTTTCACTGCAGGTATATGTAATTGATTATGGCCTTGGCAAAAAGTATAGGGATCTTCAAACACACAAGCACATACCTTACAGGTAATAACTTTTGATGTTTTTATTTGTAGATTTGATGTTTCCTCTTCTAGATTTTTCATCAATTGGCCTGTAAGCTTGACTTAATTCTTCTGGTAATAGATTTAATGGTCATGAGTTCTCATAGAAAGGCTATTTGGCTTTGAGGAACAGGAGATGGTTAAAATTTTCATCGGTTATATTGTTACTCATCAGCATACTTAAGTCATACTTTTTCTGGATTCCTACAGTTAATAGTGCCTCATAAACAATTTGAAGAAAAACTTGATACCTTATTCTGCTTTTAGCTTTAGTTATCAATTTTCAGTTCTTCCAACTAGGATAGCTCATATGTTGCATGTATATTACTCTAATGAAATCATTTTATATGTGCCACATAGACCTCATATTGTACTATTTTTTCTTTTTTGTTAGCCTTTTTCACTAGCCATGGACACTTGTTATCAAAATTTCTTACAGGGAAAACAAGAATCTTACAGGAACAGCTCGATATGCAAGTGTCAACACTCACCTTGGAGTTGGTGAGTGAACTTACTGCATCTAGTAATGATATGGGTTTTACTTTCAGCAAGCACCTGTCGCCATGGATTATTTGGCTTATATATGATCCAAGTGTGTTCCACATAACTTGCAGAGCAAAGCAGGAGGGATGATCTGGAATCTCTTGGTTATGTGCTTATGTATTTCCTGAGGGGAAGGTTGGTTGAATACATAACTTGGTTGCTTGCTTCACAATTCTTTTAAATGTTGACTCGCATTATTAACTTAGTTTCTTGTTCTCTGTCCCAGCCTTCCATGGCAGGGTCTGAAAGCTGGCACCAAAAAGCAAAAGTATGACAAGATTAGTGAAAAGAAGATGCTTACTCCCATAGAGGTACCATAACTCGCTTGCTGCTAATACCAGGAAATTGTCTTATACAAATATTTGAGACTAGGCAAGAAAAGTTTGGTTAATTAGAAGTTGCTTTTTGCAAAATGATTTCCTGCTATTTCTCATCATATTCAAGAATGGAAGACAATGTATGTCTGACAAGTAATGTCATTTTCAGGTCCTTTGCAAATCGTATCCTTCTGAGTTCACATCTTACTTTCATTATTGCCGATCACTACATTTTGAAGACAAACCAGATTATTCATACCTGAAGAGGCTGTTCTGTGACCTTTTCATTCGAGAAGGTCAACTTGAAAATTTAGGTGTCGCTGTTCAAATATTGCACACCTTCTTAATTTGTTTTTTTTTTTAAATTGAATCAATCTTCTCATTTGTCATCATCATAAATTTGCATGAGATCTTTTATTAGGAAATCTGCTCGGTTGAACTCCCAAATTAATTGGTTTTGACGACTAACTGATGCAGGTTATCAGTTTGATTATGTATTTGATTGGACTGTACCGAGTTCTCAACAGGTTGGCTTTAGCTCAAGAGCAAGGGTCAGTGATCTTTAACTTGCTGGCCTTGATTTTCAATGGAAATACTAATTTTATTTTTTCATTAATGATTCTTATACTATGTTTCTTGTCATTCCTCAACAGCCAAGCCCAAAGCCAGGTTTAAATCCGCCAGCAGTATCTGCTGAAAGAACAGAAAGGCCTTCAGGTTTGTTCTTCCTTACAGCCTGTATTGAGAATATATTCTGATAATTTAACTGGTGATAATTTTTTTGGCATAAATATTGTTTGAGTTTCCTGACTTGCCCGTGTTCTGACCTTGATTTCCTTAAATTAGCTAACTTACAATTCTTAGCACGTATCTTTAATTCCTGTAGTTGGCCAAGAAATTCGAGAAAGGTTCTCTGGTGCAGTTGAGCCATTTGCTAGACGGAATGGCTCTGGGCATGGTTTGCATGGTGATCAGTCTAGATACAGATCTTCAGATGGCGTGCCATCCTCCAAGGATGTGGTGAGCAACCTTGCTCATGCATTCATTTTTCTGTACATTTCATTTATTGTTTTCTATTAAATTCCACTTTCTTTCTGGGAAATTGAAGTTATGATTTTCTTTTAAACTTCTTTCCTTCAGCAACCTGATTCTGAAAGGGCTCACTTCTCCTCAAGAAATGGTAGTACATCAAAGAGGCCTGTCATATCAAGCAGTTGGCCAAGCTCCTCCGGTGAGCCTAGTGATATTCGCTCTAGCAGATTTGTCTCAAGCAGTGGTCACCAATCAACGACTCAGAGAGTCCAACCTGGGTTTGAATCCAAATCAGCGTCTTTTACTCGAACTGCAGCCACAAGAGGCGGTCCTGATGATACCCTCAGGAGCTTTGAGCTCTTGACAATAGGAAGTGGGAAAAGGAAATAAATGGCATATGCATCTGTTAGGAAGGATTTGCTTGTGTTGAGGGCACACAATTTCCCTATTCTAGTTTCTAATGGAGATCTCGGCACGATAATGGTATTTACAAACAGTTACTCTGTATATCTGTCTGTCATCAGGTTCCATCCCAACAATCTCCCCAAAGAAGTTTATCCTCCGGAAAACATTTCCACTTTCCTTCCACTTGCAGTACTAGTCAGGTTTTCTTGCCATTATGGTGCCTCTCTAGACTCATTAAACAAAGAGATAAATGATCTCACTTCAGGGAATTGTTCATATATTTCGAACATTCTAGCCCCAATAAACACTTTAGGGACCCTTTGGTTCATGAAATTCAAGATGCACATCGGAAATGAGATTCACCCCTCATTTCCATTGACAAAATTTCCAAGCCAAGTTGACAGTAATGTGTTCAGGTTCACCAGTCCAGAATATATCATTTATCATGTTTGGTTTACAAGAAATATGACATAACTATGATTGTTTTACTGAAATGCCCTCCTATTTTATGCATATAATTGAAATTAGAACAGGGAATATCAAAGCATAATATGGATGTCAGTTTCTAGCTTTAGTATTACAATATTGAAGTGATTATAACAATATGGGCTAATATTAGTCATTGCTTTTTTAAACTTTTTTTGGCTGTTAACTTTAGTTGAAAGTGACAAAAGGCTTTGTTTTAGTACCCTTTATCACCATATTGTTAGCCATTAATGCCTAAAAGCCTAGCTTATAATCTTAATGTAAAAGGGAGATGGGGAGGTTCTCCTTTATTGAAACCTCCTTTTTCAATGGCATCAATAATTGACCATAACTTTGGTGTTTGCCTTGTTACCACATTAAAAATGTGCTGATCGACTCTTTGAACAGTTTGTATGATGCAAAAGTACATTATCTACTATTTAAATTTTAAAATTAGCCTCCTTTTTTATTCAGATTATATATTTAAAAAAAAATTATTCATGTTATAATTACATATATCATATCTTATATGTCATAAATTTAATAACAAACATATGTAAATAGTAAAACAAAAGTAGTATTATTAATTTTTGTTATGATAGACTGATATAATAGGTAATATTTTTATTTTTAATGTGAATGACATTATTGAAAATAATGTATTACATACTTTCATAACAAATTGTTGTAAAAGATAATAATAGTAGGATTTCATATTTTGATCCACTCAATTCATATAATAATCTTTAAGTGTCATATCATACAAATTTAAAATCTAAATTTCAAAATCTATAATTTCTTTTTCATTTACAACCTCTTTTGTATAAAAAAATAATAAAAATAATATTATTATTTCATCTTAGCTAAATTGATAAAATAAGAAAAAAAATGTAAATGATAACAAAAGTCATATTACTACTCTATGTTAGATGAAGTAAAAAAAAGTGTAATTTGATAATAGATAAATGTAAAGAAAATAAAATTAACAATACTATTTTCTTTTAAATAACAATATACTTGTTTCAACAAGTGTAATAAATAAAATAAACTAATAACAGATAAATATAAAAGTAAAAATAAGTTATAATTTTTATATATTAAATAAATTAAAAAATGATAAATATGTAACTATAATAAAAATAAAAAAAAAAAAAACCTCTGCTTTCTTTTTCTTCCCTGTTTTTTCCGCTGAAACAAAGGAAAAAAATTCAGAAAAAAAGTTCTTTGATTTCTTATCCCAAAAAACATAATTCCCCCAAAAAGATTTTCTTGAAAAAAACTTTCTTTCATCTTCTCTCGAAAAATTCGCTCAAATACTCTCTTTCACAATCCAATTCAAACGCTTAAAAGGGAAAAGCTTGAATCTTTCCCTTTCTACCGAACGCAATAATATAGGGTTTCTAATTTACAGTTTTTATGAATTTTAGAAAACTGAAATTTTGTTGTTTGGGATAAAGATCGAAAAGAATAATGAAAGTGGATGTGGTAGGTGACGTGGCATCTCTTGACCCTGATTTGCTTCAGCTTCCGGAGCTCTCTCTGTTGGCTCTCAAGTCCAATCCTTTTCTCGCCAAACAACTCTTCTTCCGTTGGCTTTCCCTCCCCGAAACCGGTCGCCTGGTAAGGCTTTTAAATAACTAATCAAATAATCTTCCTTTACATTTTTTTTATAATTTTTTTAAAATTTAATTAGGTTAAGAATTCGCTAACTGATGGCAAAACGGGGACGTCGTCGATGAATGCCACTGGAAATTCGACCACTATCAATGTTTGTACAAGCAATTTATTGCCGTCCATGTTTCCTGGTGCAAGTACTCCTCCGCTTTCGCCTTGTAGTACCTCCGGCTCTCCTCGTATTGTCAAACAGCGGTCTGGTCCTTCTTCTTTAGGTTCGCCTCTCAAAATAGTAAGCGAGCCAGTCCGTGAAGTCATACCACAGGTATAAAGTAAACTTTGCTGATAAACTTTCGAAGTGTTTTAGTTGAATTAATGGTTCCTGATTATAGAATTATAAGAAAAAAATATGTTTTTCTGCGGTTTTATTTTAAAAATGGTCGGCCGCCTCCAAGTGAATTGAAAGAGCAGTGTTTGTTTGCAATTGATCAGCACTTTTATGGTCATTTGGGATTGCAAATTCATGGTGAGGATTGAGGAAGCACTTAGGCTATGCTTGGTAGGAAGGATGGAAAGGGGTGAGGATAGAAAACTTGTTAATCTAATGGTTAAACTACAAAGTAGGAAAGTGGTTTTGAATTTTAAACATTAGATTAACAAAATTTTCATCCTAATCTTTTTCCATTCTTCTTACCAAGCACAGCCTTGTGTTTTTGGGTCAGATTCTGTTTTCTTTGTTTCTTTGGTTTTTGCTGTTGGTGTTAAATGTTATGCGTCTTGTGGCAGAGTTTAAGGCAGTAACGAAAGATATTTGCAAGCTACCTTCATTTTTCTCCACCATTCCGTTTAGAAAAATTGATGTCAATAACAGTGGTATGGTGACAAGGTATGTCTCAGTGCACCTTTTAATTTGTAGTTCCATGATATATATAGTGGTATAGTTTCGAAGTTATCTGTGTAGGATTTGCAACCATTGTTCATGGGTAGTAGTAGATGAAGGACCTGCTAAAAATAGTGCTGTTAAACAAAGAATAGGGTTTTTTTAGCAGTGGTACTGCTTAAATTGAAAAGGGTTTTGTGGTGATTGTACTCCTTTGCAATCCCCATTATTATTAGGGATCCCTTGCTCTGGAATCGGGAATAGCTTGAAGTAGCGGTAATGATCCTTGAATATGTAGGCATCTCTGTGGTTTATATCACTTTTTGGGTTAGCCTTTGACTGTACTTTTATAAGAATGGCAGTGATTGGTAGTTTAGATAAGGGTTCAATGGAAGTATTGGCCTAATTACAGGAAATTCCTCAATAGGTTTTGATGGGCTTTGTGCAGAAGTTTTGGCAATGGTTGAGTAGAGGTGTGGAATTGGACTATTGGATTTTAATTGGATGAACCAACTAGAGAGTATTTCATTGCACTCTTGGTTAGGGTTTAGGAGGGATACTGGTGGTTCTCACTTGGTTCTTTTTGCTAAAAAAGGCTTGAGTAGCTTTTGGTGTTAAGGAACTGTTTGATCGTCTTGCTAATCATTTTATCATGTATGTTTTAGGTCTATGTTTTGCTACACGAGACTTGATTTATCTATGAAACATAATCTTTATAATAAAATCATGAAATTGTAGAGTCCTATATGGTTTAACATCTGTTTTTAAACTAAACAAGTTATAATTAGGTGTGTTCTTATGTATGCTGTAATGAATTTTAGGGATCAATTTGTCAATTATTGGATTGAAGGCAATATGTTAACTATGGATTTAGCAACCCGAATCTTTACAATTCTTAAGCAACCTGATTGCAGATACCTTACTCAGGTATATTCAGCTTTCTTCAATGTATATTACTTGAATAGATTCTATTTCTCTATTAAACAAGAAGGAAAGAAGGGAATATGATTTTATGATTACAATATATGTGTATTTATGTGCCTTGTTAAAACTAGCTGTTGAAGGGGAAAAATTTGTGGTTGCAAACGTAATAATGTGTTGTGCCTTCTTTAGTAATTGCTAATGACTGCAGGATGATTTCAAACCCATTTTACATGAACTTTAGGCAACTCACCCTGGGCTAGAGTTTTTACAAAGCACCCCAGAATTTCAGGAAACATATGGTATGATTACAATCACTTGAACAAATATCTTTGTCATTTCTTTAGGAATTAGAATATTTATTCCTATTGTCTAGAATCCATTCTTCTTGCATGTCAAACAGGCCCCAAAGTTATCTGATTGATTGGCTTACTGTATTTCTGGTTTTGTATGTTTAGCATTTAGTAGTTACTAAATGTCACTTAGTCCTAGCATTTGGTGCTAGGTGTGACTATTGCAATATTACTCAGTGTAATGCCACCTGTTTCAGAAATAAATTATTATCTTTTAGGTTTGTAATGTGCTGTCAACATCAAGTTCTGATTCTTCTGAGGTAGTGATTTAATATGACTGTGCCCTACATATAACAGCTGAAACAGTCATATATAGAATATTTTACTATATAAATAGATCGGGAACTGGTTGTCTTACCCTCTGGGAGTTAAAGCCAGGAAACCTAATTGCTGCAATGCTGCATGTGGATGAAGAAGAAGACATTAACAAAGTTTTAAGGTAAATCAGTCAGATGAAAGCATGCAATTTTGGTGAAGCTTTACATGATATTAATAGTGGTTTCTGAGAACCTTTGTCTCTCATTAAGCATTTTGTTTTTTGTTGTCTATAACTTGATGAATTAACATTTTATTCAATCTTTTCTTATTGCAGATACTTCTCTTATGAACACTTCTATGTAATATACTGCAAGTTTTGGGAGCTTGACACTGACCATGATTTTTTTATCGATAAAGAGAACCTTATCAGATATGGTAACCATGCTCTTACCTACCAGATTGTCGATAGAATTTTTTCTCAGGTTTGCATTTGTGTCATACTATTTTCTATATGTTGTTATTATCTACATAACCCACTTCAGCTTAAAGTGGGAAGTTTTTCTTTTATATTAAAGACCAAATAATGAGAATAATCCTTTTGGTCTTTCAGGTTCTAAGGAAATTTGGAAGTAAGGTTGAGGGGAAAATGGGTTATGAAGATTTTGTTTACTTTATACTGTCAGAGGAGGATAAATCATCGGAACCTGGTCTGGAGTACTGGCATATTTCCTTTCCTTTCCTTTTCTTCAGTTCAAGCATGTGAAAACCTTTCTTCACTGATGATCTCTTACTGGTTTTAAATGTTAATTCAATGATGAAGACCTGGAAGAAAAGTAGGAACGATGTTTTGTTAATCTCTCCTATTTCTGAGTGGCAATCTTTAGAGCCAGGTTGCTGTGCGGTTCTTCATGGTTCTGTAGCTGTGATAATATACTCTTTTTCTTTGTTTTTCTGGGTGTTATTTGTTGATATCCTGGTCTTTTACTTGACACTATAGTTGGTAGTTTGTTTATGAATCCTTTTCAACCATTAAGATTTAAGAGATCGATGAATGATCAGTCAGATCTAGATGATACTGAAGGAATCACACATTGTTGCTAGAGCCTTATTTTCAATATTCACTGATTTTTCTTGTGAATCACCCTGAGGAGAAACAAATTGAAAATGATTCTAAATCTTTTGACTGCTAGGTTGAGAAATGGTTTTTGATCTGCTTCCTGTGTTTGAAGAACTTAAAATGTTGCAATATCTTCTATTATGAGCATGAGGTTGTTTTATAAAATTTTACTGCATTTTCCAACTAGCCTCATTTTATATATAATCAAAATTACGATGTTACCTGACCAACCAGATTTTGTTGCAGGTTTAAATGCATTGATTTGGATGGAAATGGGGTGCTCACACCAAATGAAATGCAATTTTTTTATGAGGAGCAATTACAACGGATGGAGTGCATGGCCCAAGAACCAGTGTCTTTGAGGATATATTATGCCAGATTGTTGACATGATTGGACCAGAGGTTACTCCTGAATTCTCTACTGATGACTCGTCTGGCTTGTGGCTGCATGTAGACATAAATATCTCTGTATGAACAGTGCTAATACATATGATTGGTTGATTACAGAATGAGAACTACATCTCTCTACCTGACTTGAAAGGCTGCAAACTTTCTGGAAATATTTTCAACATTCTTTTCAATCTCAATAAGTTTATTGCTTTTGAAGTCTTGATCCTTTTCTTATTCGACAGGTAAATGCTAGTTTAACTTGAATTTTAATGTCATTATGAGTAACTTGTTCTTCTTGAGGTGCTGATTACAATATATATGTATTAGGAGCACGAAAATCCAACATCAACAGTGGGATCGCTTTGCCCATAGAGAATATATTATGCTTTCCATGGAAGAAGATGCTGAGGATGCTTCAAATGGAAGTGGAGATATATGGGATGAATCATTTGAGGCTCCCTTTTAAATGTTGTTAGGTATGTTCTACAGAGGTGCTGGTGTTGTGAATACCTATTGAAGTTCTTTTCTTTTGCAGTACTTATATGATTACATTTTCAAAGAAACAGAATACTCTGAGCTTGATCATTTCTAGATGCATAATGTCCGGACGAGTCTATAATTCTAATCTCTTCAGCATAATCTGTTTGAGGTAATTAATTCTGGTTTTTTTTTTTTTTTTCTGCATTTTCATAGCAGGTGTAGAAGAAAAGATGGTGGTGCTTCCATTAACTGTGCATTAATTAAAAAACTGGTTTTTGCACAAACCGGCTTTATTTTAGCTCTGGTAGCACAAGTGTATGCATACATACTCCTGCAGGCCAGCCATATACAGAGTAGTTTGGAGTACAGGGAATGTAAATGGGAATGTCAAGAGCATTTAGTTTAGAATACCAGATGCCTTAATGGTGTAGGGGCCGTTGCAGAATAGGGAAATTTTTACTGTTCATATGATTATAGTTTAAAATAGTATGAAATCAAAATTGTTTGTAAAAAAGAAAAATGATCTTGGTTTCCCCTTGTTGGTAAAGTTATGTAGCCGCATATCTATTTACCCATTTTATTGGTTGGATTGATGAAAAGAAACTGTTATCTGTTGTTCGCTAATTTGTTACCGAGATGCCTCCCACCTCAAAGTGCTATCTCTTCTTACCCCTTTAAAATCCTTTCCTCTATAGGTCTCAAGCATTTTCCGATATTATCTCGCTTTGAATTCGGAGGTTACAACATTCAAAGTTTCATGGTATGTTTCATCCTTTGCAGATGGTTATGAAACAAAATAATCCCTTTAGTTTTTTGACTTCCATGTTCCGGTTCAATGCGTAAACTGAATTTAGTTGTACAGGTTATATATAGCTATTAATTATCCTTAAATCGATTTTCTTATAAATAAAAAGTATAAAAAAATATAAGAATTAATTTCATTAAAATTAAAAATAATGCCTGAATAAGTTTCTCCAGATCTTCTATTATGAATTTATATCTTATTGTAATTAATTTTTTTTAGTTGGATGATATAATTAATAAAAATTACTTTTAAATTTTACAATTGACTTTTATTCATTAATTTTTTAAATTTAATGTGAATAATTACAATGAATAAAAATTTATAACTTTAATAATGTAAATTTTGTTTTTTTTTTTTTTTAAGTAAAATTTAAAGGTTTATTTGAGCATTATTCTTTAAAATTAAGGTATAAGAAAAAAAATTACATAATTAAAATAATAGACTAAATATAGACCTTGACCAAAAGAAAAATAAAATCTGTGAATCTCTTTACTTTTCTGCTTTAATATGATCGTTGATCAGTCATTCACCCTAACAAAGTAAAAGAAGCAAACGGGAAAAAATGAAGAGAAAACTGGACAGATATGTGTAATTTCGGCGTCCATCATCTCCAAATTTAAAACCCAGTAGTTCCTAAGGTTAAATATAGACCAGAGAAAGACTTGGCCATTTTCGTGTACATGCAAATGGTGGTCCACCCCTTGTAAATCAGAGAAGAGGTTACTAATTACATGAAAAACACAACAATGGGGTATCGTACACGAACTTGTTTCAGCTTGACATAATGTGGGTGGGGGAAAAATACACAACAAATATGAAAGAATATTTACTTTCAGATAGTATTTTACAAAAGAACACTCTCCTACCTAGACTCGAGCCAATCCCATATCTCAAACCACTTGTTTTAGGGCCTTTGCCCCTAAAACTTTTCACAGAAAATTTGAAATGTATGAGAATAATAAGATTTTTACCTTTGGATATCTGAGGCCATCTGGTCATTTTCTCGAATCATTCTCTGGGGCTTCTAGTTGCGGAGGCAAGAGGTTTAAGAAGCTCCCTTGAGCTGGTTGACTGGCAGCAGCTTCTGACTCGTCCTCTGCAAAATATAGACCAAGATTAACAAGAGTGAACCATCTCAAATACCCGATATATGCCTGATTAATACTATATCAATGCCAAAACATTAACTTTCAGAACTTTTTGCAATGTGCCCAAATTGGACCTCACCCACCAAAAGCATAATGATAGTGATAATATCTTTACCAAAAAGGGATTTGATGGAGGGTCTCTTGGGTTTTGAGCTCTTCTTCTTCAATTCAGCTGCACAATGGAATAAAATAAAATCTGGTCAAATACAAATATATTTTCTAGGTCAGAAATTTGCACAGAGGATACACTTGTGTTCAACATAATAACCAGAAGAGGGAGAAGAGAGATCAATACAGAAAAACATGTATCAATAATCTTCACAAAGATGCATAAAGTATTTGACAAGTACTAAGATAAAAGGAACAAAGGCACAAAAATATAATTTGAGGAAGGAAGCAGAATACCAATGCCAGGTAACTGATTATCATTTACAATTTCAAAGTTCTTGTATGTGTAACCCACAAAGTTTATATCCTTGGACGAAAGCATCTGCATTAAAGGAAAAAATTAAATAATGTTCCATACGTGAGCAATAGAAACATCATTTATCAGCAGTTACCTTTCATTAACCATGTTCTATAGGTTCATTTCAATTTATTATAAAAGATAATAGATAATATTATATCTGCATTCCTTAGAAAGTCTATTTCAATAATTTCTAAAACATACTGAAATATAATATATATATTAAAGAGAATAGACTGGTAGATGTTTTGTTCCCTATGACAAATTTTCACAAGAAATTGACTCTAGTATTTAGGGAAAGATCAGATTTCCCAGAAATTCATTTGATAAAACATTAGTATAGGTGTGACAAAAGAACCAACAGAAATCCCAAAATGAGAAATCCCCCAAAATAAAAAATGGTAGCAGCAGGGATTTACAGTAGATAAACTAGTCAGGTTCTTGAAATTCAACACATTTTAATTGAAAATTTTTATTGCCACTAACCTTTCTCCATGGACCCGATTTTGCTGCAGATGGAATTTGGTTGTCAGTCTGGTGCATGAAAGATAAAACAATAAGAATATGCCCAAGCAGGTTATTGCATATTTATAGATTCAGTAACACTAATTTACCTCTTCAAACTTCTCAAAATTTTGAGTATCCAACTCATCATTGACTTCAGGAATAAATGCGGCTTTCATTTTATATAACTTGTCCCATTCAATACCTTTAAACCATGGGTGAGCCTGAAAACAACAGATACAGCCAGCAAATTTAGTAATTTGCATTCTATTTTAGAACAGAATCAAAGAATCTAGAACAGAACACACCACACAACACCTTAATTTCATGGGCACCTTTTGTGCCAAGCCTCTGCTCAACATTACATAAAAGTTTACAGATCAGGTCTTTTGCTTCTGGGGATAGTTTTGCTTCTTCCGGAAATTTTAAGTGCGTTCTCCAATTTACTATCTGGGAGATTTAGAAACAAGGACAATACTTAATCATCACTAACAATAAAGACAAGAAGTATAATAAAGAGTTGAGATATAGAAGCTAATCACAAAAACGTTCAGATGTAAAGACAGACAAAAATATAAATAATAGCACAAAACCATGAAAACAAAAATAATGTAATGGTAAGAACTTACCTTCCGACAGGTTGACATTGGCTCATCAGAATAAAAGGGTGGAAATCCAACAAGCATTTCATACATGATAGCACCAAGAGACCACCTAGAAAAGTATCCAAAAAATACCATCATAAAATATCTCACAGAATATAAATTACAAATAAAAAAACAATGCTTAATATACAAACCAATCACATTCCATTCCATATCCCTTTTTCAGCAAAACCTCTGGGGCAATATAATCAGGTGTACCAACCGTAGAATAAGCCTGAAATATTACAATATCTAAGAGTTTAAGCAACATTTAATTGTAATTTCAATAAAAAGCAAAATAAAGCTTTTTAACATGAACTTAGCAGAAAAAAAGGTGTGCATTGTGGTCTTTCTATATTATCTAAGGCAACTAACATCTGTAAAATATAAGCCTAGCAAACTTGGACATAATCAAACAAAGCCTAAACAATGGAAAATAAAGGAGAAATAAGTCGAACTTTCTTGCTTTGCAAACCCAATAGTACCATCACTAATAACAATATGTAATGTTGCATTAATTACATGGTAATCAAGTACTTACAAGCATCCTTCTGTTCCTCTGCCAGTGCTGCAATTGCTCTTGTTGTGTGCGTTTTGGTGCTGCAGGTCGTCCATCACTTTGAAGAGCCCCACTGAGATTGTTTACCATAGAAAAATCCTTTTCCTGGAGATTACTGCAATCTAACGGTTTACATAATCCAAAATCTGATAATTTCATATGACCATTTCTATCGAGTAGCAAGTTGTCAGGCTTGATGTCTCTGCAACATGTGATATAGAATGGGTTCATCCCTTAGTGCAAACTCAGGAAGACCATTATACAAAAGTGTATGAAGGTTCAATGTCACATCAACTACCTATGAATATAATTATGTTTGTGGATAGATTCAATTGCCAGGACAGTTTCTCCAACATAAAACTTGGCCTCATCTTCAGTTAGTGTATCCTTCCGCATCAGTAAAGTCATCATATCTCCCCCAGGTAAATATTCCATAATCAGATATAGATACTCTTCATCTTGGAAGGAGCAATATAGTTTGACAATGCAATTACTGTCAACCTCTGCAAGTAGATTTCTCTCAGCTTTCACATGTTCAACCTGAAGATTAAAAATGCAAACTAACAAATTAGCATCATGACTCAAAATCCATTAAGGAAATTATATAGTAGGCTTAAAATTGTGTACCTGGCCTCTACGAAGCATCTCTGACTTCTTAAGCTTCTTCATAGCATAAACATGACCAGTTGTCTTCTCCCTACATACTCTAACCTGTGATTCGGAAAAGCGAAGTTAAAAGTGATTCTGGCAAAATTTCTTCATTTTGAAAAGGGGGAAGGGGTAGTGAAAGACAATCAATAAAAAAGGGATCAAGAAGTTCAATAATTGAAAATAAACTAGGAATATATGTGCAACACAGGAAAGAGGTAAAACTACAGCAAAATATTCAGAAGCATCAAGAGCTAGCAAATCATGCAACTAAAGCAGTATGCATGTAGAAGCTTGTCCTTTTAGAAGCTTCCTAGATCCATTGTCTCAGGAAAACAATGTTCTGATGGCAGGCAGTACAATTTAAATTATGATTTTAGCAACATGAATCTAGTGGTTGTCATAGCTCATCAATTTTTCTTAATTTTGGCAAGTGGATTAAAGCAAGACCAGAAATAGAAACAAGAGAAGCACCTGTGATGTGATGTGATGTGATGTACAATATGACGAAGATATAATTACCTCTCCAAATGCACCCTTGCCTATCATGGTCAATGGCTCAAAATCATCAGCACCCATCTTATGCCTCTGAAGACGCATGTATTCTGTCTCTTTTTTCTCCAAATACTTTAGTAAGTTGTTTTGTTCTTCTTCAGAGACTTCAGCATCAGCCAACTTCTTTTCTAGTATATCACGTCTGCAGAAAATCAAAATTACCCCAAAACCATCATTCCTATTCTTCAAAGAAAATCCAACCTTAACTTTCCGAGGTTCCTTGGATTACAAACACATGTTTTATCATGTTCTATTTTTGGCAGATCATATAGAATGCAGTCACAGCATTAAGTTTTTCGTATAAAGTTTTGAGCCAAAACCTTCTACCTAGCATCTCAATATGAGATAATTCTGCCAATTTGTCAGTCCACAATATAAAGCACAGTTACATGCTTGCAACATTATAGTTATGTGACCATAACGGTAACTATTACACGGAGAAATTTCCAAGAAAGGAAGAATTTTAGTCATACCGCTCTTTTCTTTCCTGCAGGCTTTGCATCTGCTTCTTGTAATGGTTTTCAATATACTGCTTTGCAGCTGCTACCCGCTGTTTGGTGACATTCGATGGTGCCTCTTCACTTGTTGGTGGTTTTGACCCCTCCTTTGCATTACCAGCAGCTTCTTTCTTCTTTGAAGGCCTTAACTTATCTTTTGATTTCAACTTGTTGAACCAACACCTTGCAGTTTCCATTGGTTTACTCAATAAATACAACCCTTCTGAACCAGGCTCCTAAATATACATTTTAGCTCAGCATTACTGAGGAATACCCTTGTTATTGACAATCTTATTCTCACAGAAAAAAAAATCTTGCTGACTCTAGTACCTCATTCTTTACCAAAATAACCAACAAACACATTCTGCAATGAAAAAGATTGAAAAATGAGTACATTAGCTTAGAATGAGGGCTAACGTTTCAGAACAGAAAAAAGGAAAACTAAGTAACTTTTAAAACACAATTTCAGGTTGATATCAGCTGTCAAAGAATATGACATACAAACAAACACAAATCAGATAATTGGACAGAGCAAGCCAATTATCAGAAACGTCATAATTCACTGGACGTGAGTAATGTCTCACCAAACATTCAATTACTATGTTAGCTTAATTAGTTGCAACATGTTAGGATTAACCAACCAAAGTATGCACAATTAGAAGCACTTTTGCAGGATTCTTACCAACCAACATGGTTTTTCCTACATTTCCCAGCAACCAAACCTCAACTAAAAACCCAATTCCCAACTAAGAACAAGGCAAAGAAAAAAAAAAGTCGAAACCCAAAGCAGTGTTCCATCGATTCAAAATGACCAAACTAAAACTCCTATAGAACAACAATTATTTATTAATATTCCAAAAAAACTCCTATAGAACAACAATTATATATTAATATTCCAACACTTTATTATCAATTCAGAACAAAAAATAAAAAATAAAAAGGCTGTGATCCTTACCTAACAAACAAACCTTACCTAAAAAACCTCATTGCAGACAATTTAAAGTCAGCCTTAAGTCTATCAATAAAATTAAAAGCAATTCAATTTAGATAATCACGGAGAAAGAGTTAACAACGCTTAACATTAAAAAGTTTCAGCCTTTTGCTACATTTTCTCACTAACCAAACAAAACACTCAAAATCTAAGACTAAACGGAATCCAAGAGCTGAAAATCGAATATCAAAGAATCAAAAGCTATAATTCAACAGGCAAAACGATCTCAAACACTGAACTTCCCAAACAGTCAGTCAACAAATTCCCTTTCAATTGTTCAACGTTTTCCTCACCAACCAAAGAGAAAGAGTCAAATCGAAATTTCAACTCAGCTCAGAACTAAAACTAAAAACTCCCAAAAAAATACTCAATTTAAAAAAAAAAAGAAGAAATAAGAATTATAGTAATTAAACTGAACGTACCATTAAAAACGCACCGGAGAAACTGAATCAGATGGCTTTCTGGAGAGTTCGATTAGGGCAAGAAAGAGAGAGAAAAGATAAAACGGCATCGTAGGAATTGTGCAGAAGAGTGAGAAAAACCCTAAAGGGAAAGAGGAAGCAAAGAGAAGAGAAGATTGAGGCGAAGATGATGAAATTGAGGTCCCATTGGTTAGGATTTTAAGCTTTTGAAAAAGTTGGAACCTTTGCCTTTGCCTTTGCCCTGCTTTCAGCTGCTTTTATATATATACATTGAGAAATAATTTATATATAAATATATATATTTATATATTTATATTTCTCTGTCTTAAAATTAAAAGCGTTTTAAGACTGTCTCCGTTCCGTCTTTTATCTGTTTGTTTACTTTTTTTTTTGTTTTTTTGTTTTATCTGTTTGAATTTTTTATTTATTATAATTTTTGGGATCACTGTCAAGAGAACTGGGAGTTTATAAATTAATTAATTAATTAATTGTGTTTTTAAATGAATTGGCTTAAGTTGTTTTTTCTCAAACCAGTGCATTTTCAAAACGTATTTCCAAAATTATTGTCTTTCCAAACTTATTTCTTTACTTCTTACAAGTCATTTTTATTTATTTGCATTTTGTTTGTTTAGTAAAAAATAATTTTTTTTTTTTTTATATTTATTTGGCATAAAATCAGTTGGTTAACAGAAAATAATTTATTTATTAACAAATTTATTTTTTAAAAAATTATCATTTTATTTAAAAAAATAATTTTTTAAAAAAATTATTTATGAGTTAAACCATTTATCAAGCATTTGAGTATAATTCTATTCAAGTTAGACTTTAAACATATTTTTTTAAGTTGGGGGCTTAATTTGGCTTAACTCAAAACATTATTATATTAATAAAAATACTACATTTATTTTAATTAAGAATAAAAAATAATATTAAAAATCTTCTAATATTTTAATTTTAATATTTCAATAGTTTTATTCAAGTCAAATTTCAAGTATAATTGTTTAAATTCAAGCTTGATTCAATCTACTTGAAATAATATTATATTAATAAAAAATGACTTCATTTTCTTTTTCTTTAAAAATAAAAAATGATCATATTAATATTAATATTAAGTATTATAATATTTTAATTTTAAATATTTGCATTTTGTATATTTTTAAACATAAATATTTTTAATATTTCAATAATAAATGGTATTATATTATTACTTTAATAATAAATAATAAATAATTATATATTAACGTTTATTATTTTAATAATTATTATTGTTTAATATAATAAATTTTATTTTAATAATATGACTATTTTAATCATGTCTTAATATTTTTACTTTAAAATATTATTTTATATTTTAATAATAAATATTACTATTTATAAATAAATAATATGTTTGTTAGTTTAATAATAAATACTTTCAATATAATATATAAATATTTTTATTTTTTAATATAAATAATAATATTTAAAATATTATTATATTAATAGTAATAATATTTCAAGAAGGGTAATATTATTTTAAATATTTTAATATACTAATATAAATAATAATAAATAATTTTTTAAGTGTTTAATATTAATATAATAATTTAATATTAAATATTGTTATTAAAAAATTTCACCGACATGGTGATCTCAAGCGAAATTATTGAAAATACTATTAAAAATGGTAAGTTGAAAAGAGGAGAAACTAAGAAGGCATCAAAGAAGAAAGAGAACGAAGTTCAAGCTGTGAGCTTTGACAGACAATTCAAGGGATATCAACCCTATCCACAAGGTTACTCTCTACTATCCTACTGTAAACAATACCTTAGCCTACTCATACTAGCCCATACAACAACCATCTTACTCATCCACATACCAGCCTGTTTTTAGCCTTTAAGTTCCTACATATAGCCTTAACATTCAACCTCTCGCAAAACCCCAAATTCATCCTACTAGCCCAACAAATGGTTCATGAGAGCAACGAATTACTCAAGAAAAACTCGTATTTGATCCAATCCCCATGACTTATACAGAGTTATACCGAGAGTTCTACAATAACCACTTGATTATCCCTACCTATATGGAGCCACTCAAGCTACCTTATCCTATGTGGTATGATCCTACAGTCCACTATGACTACCACTATGAAATTACTAGCCATTTTCACTAAAAATTTCACTGCTCTAAAACATAAGGTGTAACAGTTGATCAAAGATGAAATGATAAGTTTTAATCAAAGAGGAGTAACAACACCTAATGTTAGTGGCAATCCATTGACTAATCACAATGTTAGTGTTCTAAATGAGAATCAAGAACACGTTGATCCGAAAAGGCCTAGAAAGTTGTAGTGAATCAGGGGGTAAGATGTTAATAAAGATCCTTCACTTGATTGTACAGGGGCACAATTTTGGAGAATGAAGATAAGGCTAGTGGGAAATTTTTTATCATTTTATGATTTTTTTAGAGTAATGTTAGGATTTCTTTTATGCAATAGGATTTCATTTGTTATCATTTTAATAAAAGGCAAGGATAATGCATTTCATTACATTTTCTCTTTCATTTAACAATGGTTCCATACTTTGTTACCTTTCATACTTTTCATTCCCACTATTAAATTTCATATGGTGAATATTTAGATAAAGATAACAATAATTCTGAAATTTAATTTTGAAAACTCATTCACATTGATATGAGAAGACTATTTGAGCAAAATAAGCTAGCTACAGCAGATGTGGAATAGATATGTCTTGAAAATGTGCAAAGATCTATGAGCTTATTTTTGTTCAATAGATGAAGTTCAAATAAAGCATTCATATTTGAGATAAAAAATGACTATTTTTCTTTTACCATTCAAAAAGCCATTCATTGCTACCCATTTGAGCTTATTATGATTTTTTTCTAAAAAACTCTGATCAATGATCACCTTTTACACTAGGAGCATTTTTTTTGAAAAAAGAAAAAAGAGACAAAAGATCGTAAAAGGTCTTAAAGAGAGAAATAAAAGCAAAATGAAATAAAGAGAGAAAAAAAAATGCCATAAACAAGTTGGGACAAAGTAATGAGAATCTTTTTATGAGAAATGAGATGAAAAAAAAAAGAAGAAAAGTAGGGAAATGATATGGAATGGGAAATGCCAAGTTATTTCGAATTATGAAAAATGATCATTTGGTTTTGAACCCTTTAAACACATATTTTGAGCCTATTTTACCCATTTTCTTTCATGACCCTTCACCATGGCCTACATTATAACCTTTAAGAGTTTATTTGGATCAAGTGTGAATGCTTAAATTGAATGATCATATATTGGACTAAAACATGCTCATTATGGAATAATGGAATCGTGTTACATTGCTTTAGTGATTGAAGTGTGAGAGATACCACAAATGGATGGGAAAAGATGAAAAAAATGAAAAAGAAAAAATAAAAGAATGGAAAAAAGATGAAAATGAAAGAAGTGGAAAATTCAAATTAAAAATTTGAAAAGGTGATTTGGGTAAAAAATCTATAAGTTGAGAGTTGGACACGTAGAGAAAAGTTAAAGACATTTGAAGATTTTTCAAAGGTAGGACAAAGTTCAATAAGTTTAAAAATGATCTCAAAAGTCAATGGAATGAGTTTTTAAAAAAAATTCTGGATTAATGTTAAGAATTATTTGAGTATTCATTATTTGGATATTATTACTCCATTTGTTCAATACCATTCCCAAGGTTATGCTTTAAATTTGCTCATTTGCCCAGTTATTTTTGTACCAGACTCACTTTTCATTGATTATCTTTCTCATAATTCACCTTGTGCTCTCTTATTATTGTATCCCCGGAGTAAATCGAGAAAATGTATGATTGTATTATATTTGTCACGATTTGAAATGATTATGAATGAATGAATATATATGTTTAAAAGATTCTTGCATTCCTTTGAAAAGAAATCTAAGATGATAGGGAGTAAAGAAAAATTTAAAAAGATGATTCGAAAAGACACATGATGTGACCAAGTAATAAATGTGGTGATGGATTGATCAATATAATTTATGAGAGGTAATCAAATGATGAGAATCAGTGGATAAAATTTATTTTAGAATGGCTTGTGCTGAGAAGCCTGTCAATGGTGATCAAGTGATAAATATAATGTGTATTAAGGATAGAATTTATTCTAAAATGGCTAGTACTGAGAAGCCTATAAATTATGGTGAAAATAGTGTGGGTCAATGGATAAAATTTATGCTGAAATTGCTAGTATTGAAGATCCTATGAGTTGTGATTAAATGATACAAGGCAATGGACAAAACTTGTTTTGGAAATTGTTAGTGCTGAGAAACCTATGAATAATGATCAAGTGATCAAAATAATGATGATCAGTTGATAAAACTTGTTCCAAAGTGTTGAGAAGCTAAACAAGAAAAAACGTGAGATGGTGGAGTCTTAAGAACCATATTACCACATTTTGATTAGAATTTCATGACATTGATATCTGCATTACATGCATTACATTGGCATTATTTTTTGGAAAATGTTTAAAACTTTGGTTTGGATATGCATTTGCATTATGCAGTAAATATTTGAATCATGGTTAAGAATATGGCATTGTGAGAATCTAGATTGTTGCATTTGCATCATTGAGAAAACATTTACATTATTGATCATGACATTCATTGTATACACAATTTTGAGTCACTTAAAAAGAAATGGAAAACTTTTGATGAGAATTTTTGAGTTCTCAAATAAGAATATTTGAATTTTAAATGAGAATATTTGAAATGTAAAACCCAAAATTTGTCAAATGTGAATCTTTGAACTCAAATGAGAATCTTTGAGTTTCAAATAAGAATTTTTGAGGTGTGAAACCCAAAATTTGTTGAATGTGAATCTTTGAACTCAAATGAGAATCTTTGAGTTTCAAATGAGAATCTTTGAAGTGTGAAACCAAAAATTTATTGAATGTGAATCTTCGAACTCAAATGAAGATCTTTGAATTTCAAATGAGAATCTTTGAGGTGTGAAACCCTAAAATTTATCAAATGTGAGCCTTTGGACTTGAATGAGAAACTTTGAATTTTTGGATTTGAATTTCCAAAATTCAAATGAGAATCTTTAAATGTTGGATGTAAATCTTATAATTTGCAAATACGAATTTTGAAATCTTACAAATTTGAATCCTTATAAAATTAAAATTTTGAGAATCAAATTTCAGTGAATTCTTATGAAGTTGAAAAGTTCTTGCGAATCTGAACCTTTGATTTTCAAACTTAAATTGTGAATCTTTGAGTTTTCATTACAAATTCCTTTAGACATGATCTATGACTCATCTGTTTA